TGTATATATATATATATATATATATATATATATAAGTAATGATCCTATGAGACCTTCCCACACTCATGTATTTAGGAACTTAAAGGATCACTATTAAATTTGGCACATATCTCTTAAAAAAGTCAAGTCCCACACCCATGTGATAACTTTCTTAGATATCTGTGTCAAATTTAAAGGTAAACCTTTGAAATCCTACACACATGAGTATAAGAGAGTTTCATAGGATTATTACTATATATATTCTCTTTACTTCATTCAAAACCTCAAAGATGGGCTATCAATATCTAAAACTCTTTTGGTAAAATTCCTCAATAAAACCACGATCTCTCAAGGGATGTCATAAGGCTCAAAACAAATAAAATTTGTATGCTCCACAATAAATTATATCAAAGGTTTAACCATACGAAAGCTCTGGTAAACAATAATAGGTGTTGTCCACCGGGAGTCATCTATTACTGCATAAGCCAAACGCTTACATGGTAGAACTGATCGTCACCACCCAAAGCATCTACACCTACTTTCTAAAAACATCCCCAACTAAAAACGGAAATGTATATAATGAGACCAGTTATTTTTTATACAAGGAGATCACAACCATCATTAATTGTTAGATGTGAAAGCGGATGGTTAAGGACGTGTCATTGTTCAGACACAAAGTATAAAATAGGATTTCTCAAGTGTTGTGATATAGTTTCATCTATTGAATTTCATATCCAATGATTTTAAAATAATTGTGTCCATCCTGTACCAAAAAATAAAGAAAAATTATTTGATAAAGCCACAGTCCTATCAAAATTAGTAAATCCTCACCTAATAACACATCAAAAATTGTAATTCAAAACTTGAAAAACCTTTATATCGATCATCTGGACTTGATCACTAGAGTCGTAAAAAAAATTACGATTTAAAACTCTAAAAAATGTGTAGATTTTAACAAATTATTTTGACCATCTATTTCTTCCTAAAAATAAGTGTTCAATGATCCCCAAGATCTGTATATTTTTTTTATTGTCGATGTTGAAAATTGATTTTAGAGTCATCATGAGAATTTTTATTGTCGAATATACTTTGCATATAAAGATTTCAGGTGAGGCTTTTCTTTATTTGTCCTTGGTGTTACAGAAACTTCATGCATAGTCTCATAGTACACAATCCCAAAGAAAGTTATTAAAATAAAACTCCCCAAGCATATAAATATCAGGCCGGAGAGTATGCCTTGTACCTGGCAAATCACAAGCCTGCCTTGCACATGGCAAATCACGAGCCTTGACGAGGGATTAGTCGAAGTCGAACCAATTTTTGCAAGGTGACCCCAAACTTATCCCTCATATCCATCTCCTCTGCTTTCAATCCATCAGGAAGCTCCCAATCGAAATAATGCAACAAAGACACAAGCATCAAGTGGACCATGTGAACACCAAGAGGAAGGCCAGGGCATATCCTCCGCCCCACCCCAAACGGAATAAATTGGAAATCCTTGCCCTTGTAATCCACGTTAGAAGCCAAGAATCTTTCCGGCAAGAAGGTTGTCGGATTGCCCCACACTTTAGGGTCTCTTCCAATGGCCCAATAGTTGATCAGCACTTGTGCATGTTCCGGCACTATGTATCAGGCCACATTTACAGTCGTATCAGCCCTATGGGGGATGAGAAGCGGTACGGGGGCATGGAGCCGCCATGTCTTCTTCACCACAGCCTGTAAGTAAGGGAGTCGAGATATGTCTGACTCTTCCGCAATGTGTTGTGGATCACCGAGAGTCCTTGAGAGCTCCATCTTAGCGATGGCCATCTTGTCAGGGTTGCAAAGGAGCTCGGCCATTGCCCACTCCACACTAGTGGAGCTAGTATCGCTTCCCACTGTAAATAACTCCTGAGGACCATAAAAACATGGCTCCCTCATTAAAATTAGGGGTGGGGATAGTACAATTCGAGTTTGGGTCGACCTGGGCCCAGAACCGACACAGATCCAAGTTTTGAACCCAAATCCGACCCATCAAGTCCAAACCTTGGACCTGGTATAAGACCTAGCAAATGTCTTTCGAAAAGTATTAAAAATAAAATAAGGGAAAGTATATAATAAGACCATTTACCTTTGGTACAAGGTGGTCACAATTAATCTTGACCATTGGATGTGAAATTTGGTGGTTATATTTATTTCAATGACCAAGCTCAAAGTCCAAAAGAATTTTTCTCGAACTTTGTGACATACCCAGGCTATCAGATTTCACATTGGATGATCGTAATTAATTGTGACCTCTCTGTACCAAACGTAATGGTCTCATTATATACAATCCCATAACAATATATATATATATATATATATATATAATTTTATTAGGTGTGGCTTGATGAGAAGAACACACTCTTAAAATTTCAAGTGATTTGGAATTACAGAAAAA